AACAATGAAATCACAGAAGGTAACAACTCAGTACACAAAAACACAACAGGGGATCTCCTGAGATACCGTCTCGTAGTCCCAAGCGTAAATGTGCAGGGAGATCTCCCGGAATACCGTTCCGTAGTCTCAAAGTAAATATGCAAGACAGGGGGATCTCCCGGAATATCGTTCCGTAGTCCCAAAGTAAATATGGGGTACAGGGGGATCTCCCGGAATATCGTTCCGTAGTCCCAAAGTAAATATGGGGTACAGGGGGATCTCCCGGAATACCGTTCTGTAGTCCCAAAGTAAATTAGCAACACAAACAATAGAAGTGCAACTACATCACGAAATCTTACGATTTAGACTAAGTACCAGTCAAGGAAGAAGCAGGAAATTCACTAAGCATGCTACACAGAGTTCACATAAGCAATTAAGACACGTAGACATGTTGTATTAGACTAAACAGGATAGCTACACATATTGGAATAACTCAATTAAGAATGAAAATAGATTAATACTCATTAAAATGGTATAACTTAAAATAAAAGGAAAACAGGTTGCTGCTCAGTAAGAAAATCGGGTTTTTCCACAACTTGCATGTGTACGTACTCGTCACTTCACGTACACGGCGCTCACATATCACAATAGTTCCAAATCTTAAGGGGATTTTCCCCACACAAAGTTAGGCTAGCCACTTATCTCGAACCAAGCTCAATCAATCGGTAAGAATGCCTTTCCCACGAATATCCGGCTCCGAATGGCCCAAATCTAGCCAAAAGTAATTACATATCATAAATACAACCATAATAGACTCGTCTAATTAATTAAATCAATACTTTAACAAAAAGTTTGAATATCGCCCTAAAGAGTCGACCCGGGCCCATGTCTCGGAATCGGGTAAAAGTCACAAAATCTGAAAGCGCATTCTCTCACGAGTCTAACCATATCAAATTTACTAAAATCCGACATCAAATGGTCCTTCAAATCCACAATTCAAACTTTCCAAATCCCTAGCCTCCAACTCCCAATTTCCACCTTAAATACACACTAATTAGGTGAAAAATACATGGGGAAGCAAGATTATTGATCAAAAATAAGCACAAGGGACTTACCTCAATTAATCTCTCGAAAATGCTCTCAAAACTCGCCCTAAACCGAGTTTTTCAAGTCCAAAATGACAAAAATCGTGAAGCCCTTCGGTTTTAACCACTGCCCAGGTATTTCCCCACCTGCGAAGCCTAGGCTCGCACCTGCGGGTGCGATTGTGCGAAAAATGTGTGCATCTGCGCAAATCACTTACCCCTCCCCCTTCTGCCTCCGCACATGCGATAAAGGGTCGTACCTACACGTGCGCGCCTACAAAAATTCTTTGCGCACCTGCGGTCCCAGCTCAGGCTGCCCAAAATCCGCTTCTGCGCCAATTTGCTCGCACCTGCGGGCAGCCTTGCGCAGGTGCGATTACAGCAGAACCAGCACCAAAAAAATCTTCCAAGTCCAAAAATGATCTGATAACCATCCGAAACTCACGTGAGGCCCCCCGGGACCTCAACCAAACATACCAACAAGTCCTAAAATACCATACGAACTTAGTCGAGCCTTTAAACCACATCAAACAACGCTAAAATCATAAATCATCCTCCAATTCAAACTTAAAGAACTTGAAACTTCCAAATTCGACAACTGATGTTGAAACCAACCAAACCACATCCGATTAACCCCAAATTTTGCACACAAATCATATTCGACATTACATACCTACTCCAACTTCCGGAATCGGAATCCGACCCCGATATCAAAATTTTCACTACCGGTCCAAATCTCTAAAAATTCTACTTTCGTCATTTCAAGCCTAAATAAGTTACGGACCTCCAAAATACAATCCGCACACGCTCCTAAGTCTAAAATCACCCAACGGAGCTAACGGAATCGACGAAACTCCATTCCGGAGTCGTCTTCACATAATTCTGACTACGGTCAAAATACTAAGGCTTAAGCTTTCGTTTAGGGACTAAGTGTCCCAAATCACTCCAAAAACCAAAACGAAACCTCCCGGGAAGTTACAACAGCAGAAATAGATATGGGAGAAGCAGTAAATAGGGGATCGGGGCTATTACTCTCAAAACGATCGGCTGGGTCATTACATGACCTCTGCTCAACTATTCCTTGGCCGCTTCTTCCCTTCCTTCCCTGCTTTTGCGGGCTCGCACCTGCGGTGCCCACTCCGCAGGTGCAACTACACCAGTAGCAGCAGCACTTCAGCTACTTCACAAATTCCAAACCAAGCTCGTTAACCTCCCGAAATCCACCCGAGGCCCCCGGGATCTCAACCAAACATACCAACAAGTCTGTAACCCAATACAAACTTAGTCGAACCTTTGAATCACCCAAAACAACATCAAAACACATATTACACACGTCAAGCCTAAAGAACTTCTAAACTTCCAAATTTCACAAACGATGCTGAAACCTATCAAACCACGTCCGATTGACCTCAAATTTTGCACACGAGTCATAAATGATACCACGAACCTACTCAAATTTCCGGAAATCGAATCCGAGCCCGATATCAAAATTTCCACTGCCGGTCAAATTTGCCAAAATTCTAACTTTCGCCAAATCAAGCATAATTCTACTACGGACCTCCAAATCACATTCTAGACACGCTCCTAAGTCCAAAATTACCTAACGGGGCTAACGAAACCATCAAAATTTAAATCTGAGGCCGTTTACACATAAATCGATATCTGATGGACTTTTCCAACTTAAACTTCCAATTAAGAGACTAAGTGTCTCAATTCACTGTGACATCACTCAGGACCCGAATCAACCAACGCAGTAAGATATATAACAGTTATAGAACACAAAAGAAGCAGAAAATAGGGAAACAGGGCTACAACTCTCGAAACGACCAGCCGGGTCGTTACAATATACTGCGTACAGGTTGTAATGTGAGTGACTCTCCTTAGCCTCGTCACTACTTCGTCGAGGTTAGGCTCGGCACTTACAGAGTACATGGGGTCGGTTGCACTCATACTACACTCTGCACTTCTTGTGCAGATTTTGGCATTGGTTCCAGCTGATCGTAGCAGCTTGGATTGGCTCATTGGAGACTCAAGGTAGATCTGCTGGAGTCCGCAGACCATGAAGTCCCCTTCTATTTTTCCCTATTTTTTCTGTTTCTTTTCATTCAAAACAGTTGTATTTCTTTCAGACTCTGTTTGTAGAAAATTCTAGAAGCTCGTGAGTTGTGACTCCAGATCCGGATTGTAGTAAATATTATGGGCATTTATATTATTTCGCACTCGGTTTTATTTTATCTTTGGCTTAATTGACTTTATTTATTGAAATTGAATAATAATTGACTTAACGGTTCTCTAACATTGGTTTGCCTAGCAAGTGAAATGTTAGGCGTCATCATGGTCCCGAATGTGAGAATTCCGGGTCGTGACATAAAAACGTACGTTTGCTTCTCCTGATTTCCCGTTGTTCTTTAATTATCTCCTTCCCTGCCTTAAATGTTATATGCCCTACATGCTTTCCATGCTTACTTGCTACCTGTTAACCAATATCTTCTCATGTTAATGATGTTAAATCTTTTCATAGTTTCATGATTCCTGCTCTTTGCTTAAACTGACTTACTTGCATCCTCTAGTTGTCAATTACTAGATTGGTCTCGCTATATAGTATTACTTATGTAGATTCCTATGTTGTACAAGGTTTTCTTGTTGGATCATTTTGGTATTTATTGATCGTAAAGGTTTTCGTGGTTTGAATGGTTAATTTGACTGTGCACGTTGAGTATTTGGTACTGATATGGTGGGATCGTGTTGCATGCCGCAACAGGCGAAATAAGGGTGGATTGATATGGTAGAATAAGGGTAAATTTGTACTGTACAGTGGAATCGGGTTGCACGCCGCAACATGTGGAATAAGGGTGGACTGTTACGGTAAAATAAAGGAGGATTATGTGATGTACGGTGGGATCGGGTTGCGCGCCGCAACAACCTATGTGTTTCTATTTCCTTGAGTTATGTTGGTTTTATGGTATTTTCATCTGAACGCTAAGGATTGGTAATTCTGAACGTCAGTGGTTTATTTCTTGAGGTTGTAGCTATTGTTTTCAATTGACTGCCTTATTTCGTTATGTATTTCCTTTTCTGTCTTTATTATATACTGCGTACAGGTTGTAGTATGAGTGACCCGCCTTAGCCTCGTCACTACTTCGTCGAGGTTAGGCTCGGCACTTACAAAGTACATGGGGTCGGTTGTACTCATACTACACTCTACACTTCTTGTGCAGATTTTGGCATTGGTCCGAGCTGATAACGAGGCGTAGTAGCTTGGGTTTGCTCATTGGAGACTCGAGGTGGATCTGCTATTGTCCGCAGACCTTGAAATCCCCTTCCACACTCGATTTTATTTCATTTTTGGCTTAATTGAGTTTATTTATTGAAATTGAATAATAATTGGCTTAACGATTCTCTAATGTTGGCTTGCCTAGCAACTGAAATGCTAGGCGTCATCACGATCCCGAAGTTGGGAATTCCGGGTCGTGACATAAAAACGTACGTTTGCTTCCCCGGAACCAAGCCTAAGTCACTCCGTTTCCAGAACTGGAAATCCAAAGATAAGTGGCGCACACATTTTCACACACTATCATATTCCATATACATAATTTTCTGTTAAAAGCCACGAATGTTGTTGGCAAAGAATTCTGCGTCGCTTAGTTTGACAGCTTAGCAAATAGATTCCGACAATCTCATCTAAAAAAGAAGCTCTTTCCTCAGAATATATTTCTAGGATCTCTTACCTAAGCCTTATCTGTGAAAATGTCTCAACTAGTGTAGAAGTGAAAGTAGAGATTTCTCTAACCATTTAGGTTAAAGTATACATGCATCCTAGAGGAAGTGAATGAAATATTTGAATATAAAAGAACACGGAACACTTGGTAAAGTCTTCTTGTCTTATCTGTACTAAAAAAAAAAGCTCAACAGTCAACTTTCTAGTGAAACAAGGAGCACTTCGACTAAAAAATTTATCTGCATGATATAGGGATATTAGGGGGTTAGAAACTTTCATATGTAATTGTAGCAATCCCATTGATTTATCAATCTCCACCTCTCTAGCAAAAAACAATACTCTTCCTTGAAAGCACATGAATGCTTTGACATCTACATGCAAGCAATAACAAAATTTACAGTCTGAGGCTACAGCCAGGGTATACCATAGATGATCACCCTTTCAATCCTTCTCTATGAGCAAACAACATGTGGAATTTTGTTACATAACCATCCCCCCGTCGATGTTCAAAACCTGTAAAGAAGATAAATACTCTTAATATGCAGTTGTTTGAACATGAGGTAGCAAGAGAGAAGCTTCAGATTAAGGATAGATGAAAACACAATACACGGCAATACCTGTCCAGTAATATAACTGGCTGCAGGATTGAGTGCCAGGAATTCCACAAGTCCAGCAACTTCTTCTGGTTGACCACAACGTCCTATATTTATGAAACCAAAATTAGTCAATGCAGCTATGGTTTAAAGGAACTCTACTGTCATTTTACTTGTAAGATATAGATGGGAACCATATTTCCTAAAAATTATAATTGACAGGAAAAGTTACTCTTACCTGTGCTTAATAAATGATTTTTTTATAAATAACAAGTATAAAGTCTTGGAAATGTTAGATGCAAGTGGAGGAAGGGAAATCTTCCATATAGCAAGATTCAAATTCTCAGTTCAGATTTAGTTTTAATTACTTCATTTTCTAGAGTCAAAATTATCTATTAATGCACGGGAAATCTGGTTAATGCATCTGATGTTGTCCTATTCTACTTGGAGTCCTTGTCCTAGAAGTCAAAATTACTCAATTTGTTGGTCGTTNGTAGAACTCTTCCTTGTTTTAGATGTGCAGGAGCAAAGGAACTCGTCAATGTGTTGAGATATAAATGCCAAAAATACTTTTAAAAGGTATCTGCCCTGACCTAAGGGAACACTTTGCGAAATTTCCTCTTCAATGTCTTCACTTAGCTTGGCAGACATATCCGATGCAATGAATCCAGGGGCAACAACATTAACCTGTCGAAAGATAAAATTCAGCATAAGATACCTAATTACGAGCCATAACAAGAACCCCCCCGGAAAAAAAAAAGGAGCCATAAGAAGTCGTTAGTTTGTCGTCGATTCCTTTATACTATGATTTAAGAAGTCGTTCACTAAATAGCATTAACATAACAGAATGATTAGGAGCACTTACGGTGATATTCCAGCTGGCATATTCCTTTGCAACACTCTTGGTTAAGCCAATGACTCCTGCTTTAGCAGTGTCTTGTCCAGCATTGCCAACTAAACCAACCACGGGAGATATGTTGATGATTCTTCCCTACAAGGTATAGACCATGCGTCAACATAAAATTCTGGAGTATATGCGGAATAATATAGAAAATGTATTGCATTGTATTGCTTCAATCTTAGTGATCAGTTCTTTTTTTCAAGGATCAGAACATATCACTATATAAGCAGGACACTGTATAATGGTGTCAACAATCTCGTCAATTGGCATCTGCCACAACCTGGCCTACTTTAGCTCACTCGATCACTCAATTTGTTGGTCGTTTTTGTATGAAAAACACCGGTTCAAATTAACTGAAAAGGTTGCTCTCAGCAATATAGCAGATGACAGAATCTGAGACAATGACATCAGCAACTGAAATCCGTAAAAGGGAATAGGTGAAAATAGTTGAGATACATCAAAACTATTTCATTCAAATCAATTTCCAACACAATAAAATATGAATACTCCAGCTGAAATCGACTCAACATCTGATGCTTCTAACAAAATAGGAAGCTAATTGATGTGACAATTTTACTGTAGCAGTACTTTATTTTTCAAAGCTAGGTGGGAATAAACTATCTCCCTTTGAGTAATCTGTCATTATCTGCTCCGTCCCTTAACCTTCACTAAGATAAGGAAGTACTCAGCCCACAACCTGTGAAATCAATCTAGTGCTAGCATCACAAATTGCCAGCCTATCNTGCCTATCATTGCGTTTCTGATTCTCTTTTGCTTTCTGCTTTGACGAGCATGTGAGCCCAATAAACTAGGAATGACAGTCATAATTTTGGTTATTCCGCCAAAGGGAGGAATGACCCCTATCACACATGGTTTCTGATTGTTCTAGTTATATTTCCATCGCATATGAAGTTTTGGAAAGGTCAGTGCAGATGGCCTCAGTGACCACCATGTGGTGTAAACAGTGCTCATAACTGCTGTGGAGTCCATAGAGTTAGCACTTCATTACATGTGAAGGATCTCTCGAATAAATGAACAAATGCATGCTGCTCGCCTTTATGCAACAGTTTTCAAAAACTTGAACCTTTCCAGACAACTATACCTTTTTCTTTTTCATCATGATTTTAGCTGCAGCCTGCAACAAGAAGAAAGATCCCTCATAAGGACCTTATCATAAAATATATACAGGTTTTGGGAGGAGGGGTTGGGGAATGCAACCAGAACACTAATGAAACACAGCCAATGTACCTGTGTGCAGAGAAAAACTCCTGTCAGACTAAACTCAATAACCTCCTGCCACTGAGACTGATTCATTCTCATCAACAAGGTATCACGCGTGACACCTGAAAAGGCGAATAAGATAATTAGTGATTGCACATTCTAATGAAATTTAATGTAAAACAGGATGACTGTCTCTAACCTGGATTAAAAGATACTGTTNCTCAATAACCTCCTGCCACTGAGACTGATTCATTCTCATCAACAAGGTATCACGCGTGACACCTGAAAAGGCGAATAAGAGAATTAGTGATTGCACATTCTAATGAAATTTAATGTAAAACAGGATGACTGTCTCTAACCTGGATTAAAAGATATTGTTCACTCGTATATTTGGGGTAAAGACATATTCCTCTTTAAGTAGAAAGTCACACATGTTCTTTTGGATGATTAATGTAAACTTTTTGGTACTATCTTGGTGCAAAATTAATTAAATTTTTTTTTCACTTCTCCCACAAGAAAAAACTAGCAAAAAGGAGGGTTGCTAACCTGCATTATTTATCAAGATATCAACTGTTCCCCATCGACCAACCACCTGCAGGTATGATACTTTAGCTGGCTACAACTTCGATAAGATCCACTATTAACTAATATTACTAACAAAAGAGCGTGCTTACAGTTTTTATCATAGATTCTACATCTTCTTGTTTTGAAACGTTGCCTACAAAAGTAAAGGCTTCGCCACCACATGCTTCAATCTACAAAATAAAACTTCTTGAAGTCACTCAGGAAGATCTTTTGCCTTCTTTGAGGAATATGAGAAACAGCCTAAAGCATGAACCTTATAACATGTTCCCACACCCTAGAATAAATGACTGTTGGTTGAAGTAGTCAATAAGAGTTTTAATTCTAATAAGCAATCAAACAATGGATGGAAGTGTTTTTCAAGTGAGTTGTCAGACATTCTTATATCAAGCCTTCCAAGCATATGTTTCTTTGGCACGGGGAAGGACTATGGGCAGAAGCAGACATTCTTTACCTTTGAACGAGTAGAATAAGAGCAAATTTCGTTCATCTACAAGGCTGAGAAAAACCAAAGCAATCGACGATTTCCAGGTTTTCAGGATGGAACTTATAAGCAGATCAGCAAAACCATACACAAAACAGGAACCTAAAACATTCTTGGTAGACAAGGATTAGCCAAGAACAGAAAACATAACCATTTGAAATGAAAAGGCATAAAATATAAGCATTATGACTTCACCGATCCATTATCATATATATCCATGACTTAATAAGATGAAAGGATCAGAAGCTAACACTATTTATGCTATGATGGAGGTGATTTATGTTGCTCGCATATGCAGTTTAAGTATTTAAATTTTAGATTAATTGCATTGGAGAACGAGTCTTGCATTGAAGAGTAGTTTGAGTTTTACTTCCAGCTTTCTCAAATGTGTAGCTTTAATATGTAATGAAGCCCTCTTTTACGATATGAAGATCATATTTCACTTTATGTTTTCACAGCTGAAAGTATGCACACGACAAACAAGAAGGCCAACAGCTGGTGGATAAGATTAATGTCCTTGAAAGAAGAGCTCCCACACAAGAATTTCAGTATTTGCCCTGGTGTAGCTGATATCACTTGCTTCTATCAGTTAAGCTCATTTCCCATTTAGACCCACAAAAAAAAAAATCACAAGCATAATATGTCATAAGCCAGAGGAACTCCTCTCTAATTTTTGAAAAACTCTACCTCCCCTCTCATGAACGGGCAACTACCCTTGTTAAATGAAGATTATTTTGACATATTTGCACTTTCATCATATAAATCTTAAAGAGATATATTAGAAAGTTAGTCATATATAGTAACAATATTTATTTAATATTATAACTTTACATAGTTCCTGAGTTATTTTTTTTTTTGGGTAATCGAGAAATACCATGTGAGTTGCTCTCACTTTAATACCAGGCTTTATTACAATGCTTTAATGAAACTCGGGGAGCATGGCCCCGCGCCTCTCAACAAATCAAAATTAGTTGGTTATATGACTAAAATTTAATGATATAACAACTTCAGACTAACTAAAGAGAGATTTCTTCAAGGTACCTTCGAACTATATTTTAAGTTGGAGAGGTCCACCTAAAAGTTGAAAATTTGAAGGACAATGTAGATAATCCAGCAAAAGTAAAAGCAAAATATGAAATCACATAGAAGGTGATACTGCACGATACAGATACTCTTCCAAACATCAGGCTGAAGTCAGAGATATAGTTCATGTGTCAAGTAATAAAAAGAGCTTTTCAGTAGGAAATGGAAGGATTAGGGACAGCAATCTATACCAGAAAGCAAAAACTATATTCAATTATTACTGAAAAAAGGAACATATACCTCTTTGGAAACTTCTTCTGCGTCCTTTGAAGATATTGCATAGTTAACTAGGACCTGCAAACAACATTGAACTTTAAACCAAGCAGGTTTGCTGGAGTATGCAAGAATTTTATAAATTGATCAACTTTAATGCCTGTGAATCCACCTATGTAAGCCTTTAAGACTAAGAACAATATTGAAAATTTCAGAGAAATTAAATATAAGCATTCAACATTTTTGAAATGCCTGACCACTTCATGTGGTAAAGTAAGCTAAGATTTCTAACTAAATATACTATATAGATAACCAGGAGACAAAGTACTCAAGCAAGAGGGTAAAAGGTAACACTGACCAACCATCTAAGTTGAGCTAAGAGGAGAGACCCGCTTCCCTTTCTAGTTGGTCCCGAGAAAACTTCTCCTTCTTAGCGGCAATGTTTTCACCCAAAAACAATACAGACAAGTCCAAAGTAGTGTTATTTCACACTTGATGTGAAACCTTTCAACTAACTAATTTACTTTTTGGGCATCTCAAACTATTCTTTTAGAACTTGTTCTACTCAATACAACTATTTTTAAATATTTTACTCTTAAGAGGAAAGCAAAGAAAGTTATTGTTATTGGACAGACAGAGTACTTCCACTTGTTTCCCTATTAAACTATTGCCAATGTAAACACAATTAGAGCAACTACCATAGCACATTAAAGCTGATGCTGTTTGACAGTGAAACCACAGAGGTTGTCATGAAAGAAAATGTTTCATTCACAAAAAGAACTTTTCTTTGGGGTATTTTGTAACAGTTAACTGACCTTACAACCAGCCTTTCCCAAAGCCAAAGCAATTGCCTTGCCGATTCCTCTAGAAGCTTCTGTGACAATAACGACAGGACCTTCAACTTTTGCAGCAGCATCAACTCCAGCTTGTTCAGTGGTTTCCACCGGAGCTCTCACACCTGATCATATCATAGTCCCTTTATCCATCTATACAACTGATTATAAACAGAGGAACATATACAGAAACACGTAAATTACTAATTAACCTCCTGTACCGATTCTTTCGGTAAACCCAGCGCCAAGAATGAGTTCTTGATGATAGGAATTTACGCTAGAATGCGTGCTGGTTGGTTTACTGTTAGGAAGAAACAAGAGTTAGAAGAGTTTTGCAAGATTTTAAAGAAAATGTAAGCAATAAAACGTACGCCATTTTCAGAAGTTCCATCTCTCTGAACGCGCCGCCAACTGGGTCTCGAATGCGACATCGCGCTTCCTCGGTGATGCATCGTATGGCCTCCGCCTTCCTTTCGTCCGGTACCACCCTAGATAACATCCGGCCAAAAGCCTTGGTCCCATATATTTTTTTGATTGCAAGAAAATCGGGGATGTCAAAAGGTGAAAAGAACTGAAAGACACACCACTCTTTCTTACACTCCATCTCTTTTCCTAAGAAAATGTGTAGTGGACAGGCCATGTGTTATGTACTTAATCAAACAATTGGGAATTGGCAAGAAATTGGGAATTTTATTATCAACTATCAAAGAATTGGCGATTACAACTGAATTCCTGAATTCTGTCTAAAGCTAAATCTCCAGATGTTCCCTGAGAAAGAATAGAGAAGAATGGTAAGAAAGAGAAGAGAAAAGAAGAGAAGAAGAGAGAGAAATGGAATTGTTGCGAGAAATCTTTTAAAACGGTTGAGAAAAAGTCATTTGGCGGTTTTAGAATAAAATTTAAAGGGTTTTGCTGTTAGTATTGTACGCATATTTAACTTCTCCAAAATGCCCTCTTTATTTACTGCCACCTCATTAATTTGAAGGGTTTTGTTTGTCTTTTAACCAAATCCAAATTTCAGGAACTAAAATTTGGTTCTTTTGAACTCAAAGAATAAAAATATGTGGAAAAAATACATAGTGACAATAATATATATAGCGTCTTTCACAAAGACGCTATATGTAAATTAATTTAAGCGGGAAACTATATATAGCGTCTTTTGTTAAAACGTTACATATATAGCGTCTTAACAAAAGACGCTATACATATAAATATATCGTCTCCTTCCCTTCCCCCAAAACATAACCGTCCCCCCCTTTTCAAAAAATCAAAACGGTCCCCCC